TTTTTTTTTAAAAATTTACTTAAAAAATCATATTCAGGCCAATCCTTTGTGGTCACAAATCTAATTTGTTTAGATTATTAATTATAACAAAATGTAAAATGGTGTTTATAATAGAAGTATTTTAAATTAAAAAAATATGTAAAACCTACTGTGTTATTGGAAAATATTATCAAAGAAAACAATGCAGTACAAAAAGGTTTTTAAAAAATCCACATAATATTTAAAATAAAAAACAAATAATAATTTATGAGGTACATTATCTCTTTAATTAAATTATGAAGCACCAGTAGGTATTATTAGTTAATTAATCTCCCCTATGGGAATATTTACCAATAACAGGTTGGTTTGATTAATTTTGTAGTATATGAACCTAAATCCTTGTTTGTAGCAGGTTTGCTTATTATTAAATCCTTAACACATTTCGTTTTTACTTAAATATTTAGAAATTAGTATTTTAGACTTACGGTGCTTTGGTCACAAAGACGTTGGAAAAATGTTGATTACTACAAAAATTAAACACTTGTGTCTACGTTAAACGTAGAAGTAAGGCAAAAAGAATCCGAATAAAATTAGTTGAAGGATAGGTAAGTGTTTTGTAATATTGTAGATTTTAATAGGATTTAGCATGAGACCAATAAAACAAAGTGAGTTAATTTTTAGTGCTTACCTTTCTTAGACGGTAAACACTTTTCATGTTCGACGATTAATGTATTTGCGTGTCATTCGAAACCATTATATATCTAAATAGAAACGCAATGGAAGGAAAAACAACCTGCAATGACACTGTCTCCATGACGACGGACATCGAAGCTTTCCGCTGTCGATAAGGAAAGCCGGAAAATGCCGAAAAGCGTATAAGATCGTAGGAGAACTAGCACACATAGAAAATTAAACTTATATATACGCATACAATACACATTACTATCGCCAATCTAATTTTCACGCACAATTATTACAAAACACTATCTCCAGGTACAAAATCACATTTCAAATTATAATTAAGTCATGGATATGCGATATGCATACTTATTGGTTCACTTCAGCAGTTAATTACGAACGTACTAGTTGGATCCGCTTAATCTGAATTCGAAATATGCAGTATGTAGTAAAAATTTAATAAATGATTATTACTTTACCTTCCGGTAATTTTTCACATTGCGAAACTGATTACGGCAGAGGAGTAAAAATGGTTGGAGGAGATGAGTAAAACCTTGTCCGTACAAGTGTTAGGTCTTTTAAAAAAAGAATATAATTTTTACAAAAATACAGAGTGTAAAAATGCACATACTAAGTCTAGACTAAATTGTCCAGTCAACGAGGCTGTTTTTCCATCAATGCAATGCAATTTTATTTTTGACAATGTTAAATGAGACAAGATGTTATATATACTTAAAAATGTAGGGATGAGTTACAAAGATAGAAGAGTGAGTAGTTTGTGTAACAGGCAGTTATAGAGCCTAGGACTGCAATGTAGAGAAGTAAATGTTAGGAAGGGAGTCAGACAGGGATGCACACTGTCACCGATACTTTTTAATTTATACATATAAGACGCAATCAACATCATTAAAGACAGTAGGGATAGATATACAGGAGCAACAGATTAGTATGCTTAAATTTGCAGATGATATAGGTAGCAGTATTAGCATCTATCGAGGAGGAGTTAGAGATACTTTAAATAAAATGGAAGCGGTATTGACAAAACAGAACTGCATGAAAATAAGCAAAAGTAAAACAAAAGTACTGGTATGTAAGGGAACAAAAAGTAGGGTAGGATACGCAAAATTAGAAGAAGTGGCTAACTTTAGATATTGAGGACGTCAGATAAGTTAGGACGGGAGGAGTAGTAGGGATATAAAGCAGAGAATAGCAGAAGGTAGAGTCGCCTTCAAAAAAAAAAGAAATAACGATGCTCGCGAACGGTTAATATAGATATGTTAAAGGTGTATCTTTGGAGCGCGGCTTTGTACGGGTGCGCAACATGAACGGTGGGCGCTGTGGAAGAGGAATGGTTTGAAGAATAGGAGAACAAAGGACCCTATGGAAGTCAATAAGAAATAGGAGAGATGGGTTGGTAGGACACCTTTTCAGGCATGAAAGTCTAGTCAGAGACATATTAGAGGCAGAAACGGAAGTTAGGAGGGGTAGAGGTAGACCTAGATTAGATTACTATTCGCAAATAGTTAAGAATGTGGGTTGTTCTAATTTTAAGGAAATGCGAAGATTAGCTCCGGATAGAAAAGAGTGACTGACGACCTTATGACGATAAGTAAAAAAATACGCTGATTCTGAATTTCGTTTCCCACAGTCTGAGATATAAGGGTAATATTTGTTAATTTGACAATTAAAAAAAAAAACTTCTTTTTGTGAAAGATCCCTTGCATTTTTCGCCTTATATATCTTACACGTTTTTTATTGCCCACATAATTGTCATAAAAACGGTGTTGGTTGAAAATCGCTAAGCACTTTTGTTTATTAATAAATCGTGTTCAAAATCAAGAAAATTAATTTTTTTTACATTAAATATCACACGGATAAAAATACAAAGAAGCTTGAAATTTTCAAAAATTGTTTCTTATAACAATAAATGAAAGTGCTCCAAATTTTAGAAAGATCGACTATTAACTGTACGAATAATAAGTGATTGAATAATTTCCCCTTAATTGTAAAATCCCACGCCAGAAAAAATAAAAAAACTATTTGAATTTAATATCCTGTTGGAATTTTTGAATAATATCAGTTTGGATCGATTTTATAACAATTTTTTTGACACCTTTGTTTACCTGACGTACAAAATCATCAGTGGCGGATCCAGCGAGGGGGCTATACCTCCCAGGCGGTCGGACTAATTATTTTCGTTGGATATTGGATAAGTACGTCACGTCAAAGTAATACCGACCTTCGTCCCTATCATAAAATGAACCGATAAGGGTTCGACTTTCAATTGTTGCTGTATGTTTTGACCATAAAAGATATGCCACTTTTACAGTTAAATACGAAGTGCCTGGTTTTGTCATTATATAAAATAACTGTTCAGAGAAATATACAAAATAGTTTTAGCAATCGGTAGATATGGTTACATATTTATACCTACTTTTTGATTCTCAGCAACTTGATAATTTCAATTATGAAAACGCCGAACATTCGGAAAAACATTTACTTAATTTTCTTGTTTTATAGTTTCCTATCATCTCCTGTGAGCTCCGCACTTATTTCTGTTACACCCTGTATTATTTTAAGTAATTTTTTTTTTGAAGTGAAACTTCTTTACGCACGGTAAGATAAGTTCGTTTCATGCGAGTTGCTGTGTAACGAAATCATGCAACGGATATCCCCCCTCTACTCGGCCACGTAGTTGGGATCGCTTGAGCCGTTGGCGCGCTTCAATGCAACGTTCGTTACAGGCAACTCCAGCATGTATAGTGTAAAATTTAAATTCATAGTGTACAAATAATACCATTAAACCAATTCCTTAACCCCTATCCCGGTATGTTTGTAGGTTTGAAGAAGTTTCACTTCAGTAGCGTGTTGTATAATTACACATTGTATTTTTTTTTTTAAATGATCTGGTCAACAATTTATTTTAGCTGACAAATTTTCAGCAACTACGTAATTCTGACTGAATTTACACCTTTCATTATTTTTAAGCTTTCAACGACTGAAAACTTAAATATCAATTAAAAAATTCGCACCTTCCTATGAAACTAATTGACCTATTGTAACTATTACGGTATAATTAATTTCTTTAATTTACGTAATATGAAATGTTAAAATCACAAAACTTTCTCTGCATACATAGCTCACTCAATTAATAATAACAAAAAAAAATGGATTGTGCTCCCTTTATTGTCGGTAATTAATTAAATTTAATACACAAAACTTTGCTTCCACAAAAACAATGACCCTTTAAGTTACATATTCCTCTACAGATATAATAAGTAATAAATGTAGTGGTTTTAAAAAAACAAGTCCAATTGAATCGTGACAAACTGTTGTTACAATAATAGTACAATTAAAAATTGGAATTAAAATCCCCTATAATAAACATAAACTGCACTTTTTTTATCGTAACATGAATGAAATAAAGTAATAAACAATTTAAATAAAGGAAAGAAAGAACAATCTAGTAAACTTATTTCGTTATACATGTATTAATACATATTTGACTAACAAAAATCAACTAAAATGAATACCTGCACCGGCCAAGTACAAACCTTATTATTAATATATATTACTAAATAAAAATATTTTGTTACAGATTTGGGCAGTACGAAAAAAAGTTAATTAGGCATTAGGTGAAATTACTATTAACTTATAATTTTTGCTTTATATTTTCTATTTATTCATTTCATTCAAAATGAATTGATCAAATGTTAATATATAGCATAAGTATTCAAAATAAATTTGACATCAATTCGTTGTCCTTAAAATTGAATTGGTGTTTTGTGTACCCATTTTTCAAATTAGCTTCATGATGTAGACAAAGCAGAAGAATAAAATTCGTAAAATGGACTAACCCAATACCAAGTCAAGTTTAATGATATATTAAAACTCCATTTTATTTGAGTATCGTTCGATTTCAAGATTAAAAAATGCATTTTATGTAAAAATACTGATAATTTATTTAGAAGGAAATATTATATTTTATAAATTCTATCCAATACTGTTTAGCCATCATAACAAAATAAAGAAGTGTTTAAATTACTTTAGATTCTGCTTATGAACATATTATACATTCATAACAAAATTTAAAATTAACATATTATTAGGTAAGTGCATACTAGTGGCAGATTTATAGATTTGTCAACAGCAAAATAAAAAATGTTTGTCACCTTCTTTGAGAACAGAAGACAAAGTTTATACAAAATGAAGGTATATTATATTATGAACACCATTAGCATCAATTTTTGCAAGACTGTTTGGTAAATATGCAGATGATGAGACGCCCTCTGAAATGGTGGGAGGAGGCAGGGGAGTAGGGGTGATCTCGTTAAACACCAAACAAGTATTTTTAGATGAAGGCAGAAACATGGGGGGAATGGAAGAGAAATTTGAGAATGATAATTGTATAGAGGACCTTGGTAGGAAGGCGGAGAAAATTAGTGGAAAGGGTAGTGATGACTTTGTAGAACACTAAAAAGTGTGTTAATTGGGGATAGAGGGGGTGAAAGAGGGGGGGCAGAAGTGAAAAATCGCAAAGAACAAAAATTACTCATACAATTAAATTAGATTTAGTTGGATAAGGTTACGTTAATTTTTTTTTTCAAATTTTGACCTCCACTGCTACCTATATATCTCGTGAACAAAAAACTTACACCTCGTCCATTGAAAATAATATGTAATTTTCTGTAAACACCTTAGACAGTTTGTTTGCCAGTTGCATCTGTTTAAACAAAATTATTATTATTATTATTATTAACTAATGCAAGTAAGTACATATTCCGAAAAAACAATACTTCTCTTGGATATTACCCACCAAAAATCTTGAAATAATCCCTTCGACACTTTTTTTGACGAATTTCATTTTGTTGGTGTAGAATATAAAAAATTAGATACATAGTATAGTGTCATTCGTCCTTTTGAAGTTTTTTGGTCGGATTTCGTTTTGTTGGTGTAGAATATGAAGAAACAATTGTATGGTACTTGTAGTTGTTGTCGTAAATATCAGACTCTTTTCTATTGCCTTGGTTCCATTCGTGTAAGTTTTTTGTTTATGAGATATGGAAGAAAATTGTGATGAAGTAAATTTTCCATGCTTTTCTTTTGGAAAACCAAGTCTAATGTCTAAATAAATATCAATATTATGAACTCTCCTTGAATTGTAGTATTTGTAACTTTTCGAAAAGAAAAAGAAATTTAAATCACCCTGGTTTACATATTACTTATATTACTATAAGATAAAACTTTACAATAATATGGCCTTCCCGATTAATACTAAAATTTCTACAACCCTATTTTAATATTTTCTTACCCCTTTTTGGCTTATTTCATTCACTTCTGCTCAGTCAGTCTTCTTCATTGTGTAATCAATTTAATAAATTGAATTTTTAAATACAACCACCTTTTAATTTAAGCAACATTTATTACCCTTAATCATAAATCATAATAATTGCAAACATTATTATTGTAAACTTATATTACAAAATGATCAGTGCATTCCTTTCTTCATTTAGATAAACTGAATTGTATTACCAATCAATTACTTACCTTTCTAAAAAAACAGTAAAATACTTTCTGCACACTTGCAGACAGTGATAGAATAAACGGATGATTTCAAATTCAAATCAATTAAAACAATGCTCTCTTTAATGTGTAATTGATAATAATTAATTGAGTATAATATTAAAAGGGACGCCAAAGAGTAGATCCGAAGATTGGAAACAGAAGTTATCTCACTTACATAGTCTCTCAGCCAATGAATTAAAAATGTTTAACAATTACGCCAAAGAAGTAAATTCCTAGACTTATTTTCCAACATCCTAATAGATTTCAGTCCCGGTTTTTGATATTACCTTTTTTACCTTAATGTTTCTTTTATTGAAATCTATCATTGATTGTGACCATCCCCGAGCTGTTAGTTTGAGCACCTAGCCTTCAATCTTCGAGATTCTTTAGTGTCTCACTGTTGACATTAAAATTATAAAATGACATCAAAAACCACTGTACAGACTGATTTGGCATCACATAAATAGCAAACAATAAATTGTTTGATTCTGAAATCGCTCAATTATTCTATCACTCTGTAGATTTCAGACAAAAACAAAATAAAATAATCCCAATCAAAACAATATATCATGATATTTCAGGTGCTGCATGTATTTACAATATTTCATAATAGATTTAAATATTTTTGTGTATAATATTTCTCTGTACCAATTCGAGAATCTTTCAAAAACATTGGTATTAAATCACACATGCAAAAACTTATGTAAAGAAAGAAGTTCCACTTTGTCTTTTTTAACCATTTTGTGCTTTTAATAACTTAAACTCATGTCAATTTCTAAGGTTTTACAAGAATTTTTCTAAAACATTATTTGAACAAACATATAATAGGCATTTTAAATATAAGACCAAAATAATATTTAATCATTAGATTAATGGAAACAATTCTCAAATTAGAACAGAACAGACATACCACATGACTATCAACAGCAACAGATAAAAATTAAAAGCAAACCGCAAATAGGATAATATATGTATAATCACTAGATCACAATTTTAAAGGCTAACATCAGCTCACCTGGAGGACCTCAGTCCACTTTAACGACACTGTAGATCTTTCTGATGAACCAGAAACAAGAGAAAAATCCTATGGTGCCAGTCAAAAGATTGAACAAAAAGACCATAATGAGCGTGTACCCGAAGTAGAGGAATTCCGACACGAAATCCTCGATTTGCAATTTTGAATAGAAATAATGACAACAGTACAGGTAGAGGTAGACCGCAGTAAAACCGGAAGTTAAGTACGATCTCCACCACCAATGATAATCTTCGGCGCATAGGTGGAAATAGCATAACAAGATGGTAGTTTCTGCACATGTGATTACCAAAATTATGAAAACGAGAAATAGAAAACCAAACATGTAGTACATTGCAGACGCCCAGATTGAATTTAGAATAAAGAAAAGCTGAATAAAGATGCATCCAAATGGAAGAATACCTCCCATTATTATGCCTGGGATTGGCTGAGTGTACACCGACTGCACCGGGATGAGTCGAGGAATTTGGTTTGTACGTACAGGGTGTTCCAGAGCCTTAAATAAAAAAAAAAGATCTAAAAATTACAGAATAATAATTAATACCAAGAAAAAGATATTTTATATACAATTCTGATAAAAAAAATATAACAGTATCTTTTTTCGTCAAAAAAAAAAACTATCGAGTTTGCTATTACAAGAATGTTAAATTTCTCTTTCAATTTTGTAATAAAACAATAATTCTACTTACTCTTTTTCTAAAACCAAAGTACGCGCCAACAAAAGTCAATGGCACAGATACACCAAACCAAAGAGCTAGGAGAGCAAGTAGAGTTGTGAAAGATACTGCAGCAGAACTACCTTTACTCCACAACACCAAATTCATAATGAAAAATAAGCTGAAGACAATCCTGAAACATATAATTAGTGTTAATTCAAAAATTTTATTTTATTTCAAAAATTAATTCACTAGTGTATTAAATTTAACCTTACAAAAATTCAAAATGTTTCAAAAGTTAATATTCAATGTTTACGGCAGTCAAATTTTTATTTAAAAAACATAACATTTACAAATTCTGTAGACTTTGTTCCTTTTTGATGTTTGCACATGGAACCGTATAATAATTACGAATTACGGTTAACAGCATAACATCAAAAGCCGTGAACCGTTGCAACACTAATAAATATTTAATAATTTGAATGTTAATATGCTCCAAAAGATTGTTATTGAATAGCAAATTTGTTGACAAAAAACTTTCATGGCAGTTAGTATTCACTTCATTCAAATCTACCCTGAAGAAATTAAATACACACAACCCCTAATAACTGCTACCCCAAAGATTAGCGATAATAAAAATAAAAAAAGTTCTGCTTTACCCTGGACTCAACATAGAAGTTAAAAGAACATTTGATTTCCACTTTTCTCCTCCAAAGCTTTTGTATATTCTAGCTGAGACATAACCAGCAGGAGTGCCAAGAAGTACATAAAGAACAATTGCGCAAGTCATTAAGGCCCCTCTATTCGCAGGACTAAGAAACCCTAAACAGGCGAAAGCCAAAGTCACCAACGTCATAAAAAATACTTGAACGCCCGATCCCAAAAGTACCGAGAGCAGCATTCCTTTTCGTGGGGGACGAAACACGTCTCCATGGACCAATTTCCAACCGAATTCTTCCTAAAATTAAGCAAAAAGAAAATTTAAATAACTTTTAAATATTAATTAAACATACACAATGGAAAAAATGAATAAAAGTATATTTATACGAAATATACAGTTTACTGTGAATAAAAAAATCCTATTTTTCATATTGCAGTAAACTGAAAATCTTTTATATTTACCTGTGCATCTTCTCCACTGTCAATCTGGTTATACCTTGCGATGTCTTTGTGTAGAGTCCGCAACAAAATCATTGCGACCATACCAGAAAGGAAAAGGACAATGACGAGTGAATTAAGAATGCTGAACCACTGTATATTTGTGTGTTGCATAGATTCCAAAATGTAGTCCCATCGAGAGGACCATTTTATTGTGTTATTTTTGAAAAAAAAGACTGAATACGTGTACTTTATATCTAAAGTTTCAGTATTACTCAATGATTTAATTTCCAATGGCTCTTGAGAAGAACAATCCAGGTTTCTGTAAAAAAATATTACAAAATGACATTTTTTCTATTAAACTAGTAATTGTTTTTCAAGTTAAATTTTAGCCTTCAACTTTAAATTATCGACATTTAATCGATAATACACAATTTCTACATTAATTTAGCAAGTTTGTAACAATAATAAAACACCAATTTGGTTTACTTCTGTAAAACTACATTTACTTTGCTAAAGAAACTGCAGTGTGTCTGTGGAAAATATCAAGTTAAATATTATGGAAATATACTAAATCTGTTTATTAATATTTCTGATGAATTTCCATCATTCATATGTAGATAACATGACCAATTTTGTAATGGATTTATACAAATTAAACAAACTTACTTTCCATGCTTTATACTTCTAGGAATAACTTTCACAGATATTATTCTTCCTCCATTATTTCCAAAACGACTTCCCCATTCTTCCTGTCCTCCTGAGTGGTATGTGATCAACAAATCGACGTGATTGTTAATATAGTAGCCTTTTTTATTTACAATATTTCCGATGCACATGTTCTTTGGATCATTAAGATTACACCCCATTGGAAAACCTGTGGTGCATAACTGATGACCATCTTCTACATCAAAGCAGCTTGTTACAGGCATATTATCCACAATCCAATGATGTTGATAATTTAGACTAATGCCTTTTCTTAAAATGCTTAACTTGGTTAATGAGGCATCATTATCTCCTTTGTAAGTTTTATTACAAACTGACTGACAACTCATATTTTTCATAAATTCGATCTTGTAAGGTGAAGGTTTTATTCTTTCACCGAACACTACCTGTCCTAGGTTTTCCACAGGTGCTTTTAGGTTTTTATCAGGTGAACAGAAATCAAAGTGTTCATATTCATAAGGAATGACAGATTCTCCAGTGTTTAAGCGATTAACATAAAGCAGTACTTCTGACTGAAATAAACACATTATTTAAAAAGAAAATAGAAATATCTATGTATATCCATTGGTCTTACTTTGCAGTTCGACGATTCGTCTTCTTTTTTACAATAGTTGACAGGTGCAAGTCCAGGTAAATAAAAACCGTGTACAACAATCACCACAGACAAAACTAGCAGCAAAGTCTTAAATACTTTACAGAACACCATTTTTTGTCTTTTAAGGAATCTGCATTTAAATATCTTCTACAATCTACAATATTATTCGCTAAATGTCATTAAAATACCAGGCAAACTATTCCGACAATTTTTCAAAAGAACACAACCGTATTGACTATCTGTAAAGAATACGGCTCTTTGGTAAATTACTTTAAAATTAGTGTTGATTAACAATAATTAAGTTTAAAGCAATACTTTTTTATTTACGCGTTCAGTTATGCACCATTAATGCACTGTGATTAAGCGGGGTTATGATTTTGCCACGCATACATATACAATCATCATAGATCTGTACTCTATAGGTCTATGATCTATTATCTACGTTAGCGCAACCCACAATACATTGCACTCCTACGTATGTGTTGACTGCGCAAAATCGAAATCTTTTTGAATAAAAATTTTAAACTATTAATTGACAAAAACTAGCCATACACTAATGCCACAATACAAAGAATAGTCAACTTACGTTTCTTAAACTTTTGTGTGAATATACAGTTTCATTCTAATGTTTTTTTCCGAAAAAGACCGTAAAATTCTGAGTGTATAAAATACCCACCCAGAATTTTTCATATGAATATATGAAATATGAAACTACCCACTAACCCACACTATCTCTTGAGCTTGCTACTCACCTAGAAATGGGTAAATTTGCACATTTAACTAAAAAGTATGTATAATTAATTTAATTATGTAGCTTTGATATTCATTTAACTCCACCCTATAGATTAGGGACCATTCAAGTATGATGTAAGCAGAATTTTCGTAAATTTTTACCCCCCAATCCCTTGTCAGCAAAAGTAAGTAAACATCTTACCCCCCTTCCATATACTTACGTAAACGCTGTTATATATATTTTTTAAAATCTATTCAGAGCTTCTTACCGCTATTTATTGGCTAAAAGAAAGGAATTTATATGTAGACTATAGAGAAATTTAATGCATATTTAATATTTATTCAAATAAATGTTTTTATCGTTTTTTAAAACAGTGAAAGAACAACTTTTAATATAAATTTTTATTTACCTCAATCTGTACAATNAAGTAAACATCTTACCCCCCTTCCATATACTTACGTAAACGCTGTTATATATATTTTTTAAAATCTATTCAGAGCTTCTTACCGCTATTTATTGGCTAAAAGAAAGGAATTTATATGTAGACTATAGAGAAATTTAATGCATATTTAATATTTATTCAAACAAATTATTAACATCGCGTTTAAGTATTATATAGTCTTAACATAAGAACGATATTAATTAATTTTTCCTATTTAAAAATTTAGTAAGTTCAAATTAATCGTCCTGAGTTCATTTTTTCAAAGTTTTCATTATCTATAAAACAGTTCTAGTTATTTTGCTTTTTCTAATTCCAATTGTTTCACTCTTGCTTCTAACTGATTGATTAAATTTGTTTGATGGCTTGACAGCTGATTAACAACATTTCCACCAATCCTGTCCAACATTTGCACGAGGCCGGATTGTGCTGCTTTAAGGTCCGGTATCTGACTATAGTAATTTATTTCATCTCTACTTAGAAGTGTTCCTTCGAATATTGCAGCTTAAAAAAACAAGGTTTACTTTAAATATAACTGTTAATAATTGCCAATAAAATCTCACCCATTAAAACCAACTGGGGAAATTTCTTTGTTATTGTCAACATTTTGCTTATATCTGGATCACGACAGAAAAGAGTCATATTGCGAGATGTGAATAGTGATAAAACAGTTTCATATGGAGTCCCTTTTATAGCCATTTCTACAGTTTTTTTACCAAGATCTGATAAAAACATATTTTGTTTTTTAAACATTATGAATGCTTTATGTTGGTCTTCTGCTTTCATTGTATTCAAATGATAGAAACAAATTAATTTTGAATTTATGTATTTGTCATACAAATCATTAGCAAGCAACCTCTGATATGGATTTTCCACATTATCCTTTTTCCACAATTGTATATTTTTATTGCAAAGTTCAACCATACTTTTATCTTTAAAGTAACTTTGAAAATGTGGTTTTGTAAATTCAAGAAGTCTTGCTTTTTCGAAATGGGGTGGTCTTGGCCTACGTAAATTAACTTTTCCCCGAAAACGTTTTGAATTTACTAGTATGGCATGTCGGAAGCAAGCTGAGAAAACTGAAAATGGAAACCATAATGAATTTTTTATTTTTTATTTGCAGTAATAAATAAATACCTCTTTTAGTACATATATCCATTACAAAATTATTTCATACAAATAAAGAAAGATTGTTATAACCTATATGCTGTTGCTCTGCTATATAAATGAAAACAAATCATTATCCATAGATATGTGAAAATGTCATTCCATATATTAATAGATTAGGTCCAGACCTGCTAGGGCAGAAAACGAAGTTAGGACCAAAAATTTTTATAAATCAACTTTTTAATTACAATGTGATAGGTTAAAAAAGTGCCCTTTAAATGCTCATTCAACATATTAAATTACCTCAGTTACCTTTTAGTTTTAACAGGTTATTCATTTCTTAAACATTTTGACAAAAAATAATAAGTCTAGAAAAAGTAGCACGTTGGTGTAGTTTAGGTTGCTCCATCTTGACAATTAATAATAAAAAAAATCTCATTTTTCTATTTATATAATTATATCAAAAAAAGTGTTGAACTTTGATAGAACAGCTTAAAAGTATTAGGAAAGAATATTTTGATTGTTGAATAACTTTTTTAAACATTTCTTAATAACTTATTAAAGCTAAAAGATACAGCTGGGGCAATTTTATATTTGGAAAGGGCATTTAAAGGGTAATATTTTAACCTATCACACCTTAATTAAAACCCCAATTAAAAAAAAATAAAATTTTTGCGGCGCTTATTTCGCCTAACTTAGGCAAACTTCTTATTCACAGACTATAAACATAAATAACAAAATGAAGAAAAACAGTGATTTTATCATTTTATAGCCATAATATGAAAATATTATTTTACATTTGTAAAATGTTATTACTTAGTATGTTATAAATTTTACCAATTTTTTGTTCAAAGGATATATTCAAAAATTTAATGCTAAAATAGGTATATCTCAAAAAGTTTATTCCCGAAAAACGTTTGTTTATAAGATTTTGCAAAAACTATCTCAGTAGTATTAGCAGAAACTTCTTTAATGTCCCTTGTATAAAGGCAAATTATACCAATCTCCGAAAAGTCCGAAACATTGACGTAAAGAAATACACATGTTAATGCAGACCTGTTCAATTTGTTGCCTATAGTAACTGTTCTTATTTTATATAAAGTCGCCAAAAATACGAATCCATCCTAACAAATCAATGTTTGAACTATTGTACATTCGAATAATGATGGTTGTTCAATAGGAAGAAAAAAATACTTTTTATGTATAAATTTAATGAGGTCAAGTACTTTGCAATGACTCTGGAGAAACAAGATGCATTTTTACTATTGACAAAAGTTAATTAAAAAAGAATATGAATGAAGTCCAATTATTTTATATTTGAGGTGAGTTTAAAAAGAAACCTTGTCTGTTAAAAAAAATTGATATTGCAGATTATATTTGTGTTAATTTCGTCGATTATACCATGGCCAGGACCTACTGTTTTCAAAATTTCGTGTCCCCGACAAGACGCGAATATTGTTAGGAAAATAATTCAAAGTAAATGGGTTCCTGTCTTGGAGAAGTATAAGGTAAAGATACCATTAGAATGTCCATTTCATCCATCTAGGGATATTTTCGGTCCACAAGAGGCAGCAAAACATCAACATAGGCCTTCTCAGTGGACTTGTGGGCTATGTGGTAAATCGTTTTATGAAGAGCGCTTTTTAGACATGCATTTCGACAATCGTCATAAAAGTCATATTAATATGGTAAGTAATTTATTAATTTACATTTACATTTGAAAACATAATAATTTTACTAATTAAAAAATTGTTTGAGATTCTATTTTCGTATATTTAATATAAAATTAAAATATTTTATCAATGAAAAGGCAGAAGATGCCGTGTGCCTTGCTGATTTTTGTGACATTATCCGCTGCGACGTATTGCGCTCGCAAGATATTAAAATGGGGTATTCCGAGCCTATTAACACAGACATTGAATTATGGCGGGAAAGTACAGCCTACAAGACCGAATTGGCTCCTACAGGACAACGGGATCTTGCAAAATATGTCACAATAAAGACATTACCAGCATCAAAATCTTCAAAACGAAAAAATTTAAAACACTCCCTTTGTCAAAGCAAAGAAGGTACTCAAGAATATCCAGGTAAGATTAAATGTATCAGCATTATTTCAAGAACGCTCACCATTTTCATTTTCTTTTTATATTAATCAAAATAACCCAAGAAAATAAACGAGCAAAAGTAAACAATTTCGCAAAGGTTTCTTAGTAATTATTTTTGTATTACAATAAACTTCAAAAGTAGTTGAATCCGTTAAATAATGTAAAAATCTTGTCGGTGCACTTATATATTTTATTTTTTAATAAAATGCGGAATGCTTTTTAACTAATGACTTTTACTATTACTTTACATTTTTTACTTTGACTCTCTTTTTAAATATTAACTTATTGAAGTAGGATTATTCGAATTTCAAAAAATCATAAAGTCATTTAGGAAATGTTCCCACGCTATTTTTAAAAATAATTTAACGGATGGCAACAAAATAAAAAAGCAATTTTTAGACGATAATTCTGGAAGAGGTAAAGAAAAATCTCAAAACAATAGTGCAAACAATGATGTATGTCCAAGCGACTTAGTTGATTCCGCTCTACCAGCAACTGAAAACAAACAACAACGAATCGCAGAATTGCAAAAGCTCAAAGCACATTGTAAACCAGAAGAATTACAAAAATTGAAAAACAAATGCGAAATATTCGTCCGAGACTGTATTGCCAGTTTACTTATTCATCTGTCAGTGAAAGATTTTAGAGAAGTAGAAGGTAACTAGAATTAAATAGAAACATATTCTTTTGTTCGGTTTTTCAAAACTCATAAGCATTAAATTACTGTCAGTCTTGTTTTTATTTTTGATGTGTGTAGCATCTTATGCAACGGAAACGCGTAATAAAAGGTTAGGGAGGGGGTAGCGCGCACTCAAAAAGTCGCTTTCTTAGCGAGAGGAAATGAGAAAGAAGACAGTTGACAACTATTCGCTCTGGCATGCTTGGTGTTGAATAGCAGTTTGCGTTGCTAAATCTTGGTAGTTGGGTAAAGAAGTATTAATAGATCTACAATTGATATTATAATATCGTATACATTCAAAATTTGCGGTTAATTTCTTTTAATTCCATGCTAATCAATCCTTTAGAATTGGTCTTCCCGGTACCGAGCAGAGATGTTACACATCATTGACGACTATTATGGCTCAATTTTTTTGCAATTCTGGTAGCGTATTTCAGCTGATTTACATATTTTTAGATGAATTAAATAGAGCAATTTGTTGGTATTTAACTTGCGACAGATATTGGGAAGATTCTCAATCGGATATTAAACAGTTTCCATGGGGTTTATGGTTTGTAATATTTATGGTATTATCCTTAGGAATTTCTCTGTGTTACTACATTGTATGGGTTTTGTTTGAGTAAGTTACGTTACCGTTAAAGAAAACAATAGATGAAAATATGCCAAGTAATGAGTAATAAAATAAAATTATTTGCAGTACTGATGACTTAAGTGTCACCAGTGCAAGCATAACCGACAGATCGACTCCGTCGCCGACTCATCTTTTTAAACAGGAACCTTCGATGTCTTCGGATGGAAGCCATATATATACCGAAGATTATTTCACAGCTGATAAGGATAATGAATACATTTATGTAACATATCCACCTGACTTGAAAAGACGGCTAATGGAAAGGTAAGTAAAGTATGCGTTTAAAAAAATGTACTTGATGGAAGGAATCATAAGGCAAATTAAAACCGCCGATACTAAGAGATTATGGTACCTCGAAGTCGAAGTCGGTTAATAACCTACGTTAACCTAGCCAACGCCATCTGTAAGGAGAGCATACTCATTACTATCACTTACTGCGTTTGTTAGTACGGTAGTCAGTTCTCTTTAGGATTCGAATACGCAACCTATTTCACTTGAAAGCGTTAATTTTTGCTCTTCTGAGTTGAAGTAAAAGAGTCGATATTACTATTCTAGTTTAATTTAAGCCATATGCTAGATATAGCTTTTCATCAGTAGGTACATTTACTATGGTATAGGGGGTAACACGTTTTTGCACACTTTTCCATTGTAAGCGACAAACATCCACTATTCACCATCTCTATTCATGGGTTTTTAACGAAATTCCTGTATTTGATAAAAGGCGAGGTTCAGTTTTTTTTATTTTTACTGTCAGGGGAGGGGAGGGAGGCATAAAACTTATGTAAGATAAGAACTATAAAATAATAATTTCAAATTATACTGTAGGAATCTTCTAGTTCCTGATACATCTACTTATTGAATAAGTTGCGTAAATGTAAGTAATTTATTTAACACAGATACATACGATATATATAGGTATTTATTTGACAATGGGTATCATTGTAGATTTCTCACTGATTAGACTTCTTGTTAGCGCATTATTTGTATCAGTTCTCTTACATTGACTCTCAAATATATTCCATCAGATGTTAGTTACTTACCTATAGCAATAATAACAAATTAATTTTTGTTTTAATCCCGAATTTTATTCAAAACATTAAAAGAAATTCTAGTTACGATATTCGGGTAGGAGGGAAGTCCACAATTTTCTTATCTAGAGAGCCGTGAGAATCTAAAATCAGCAAAATTTTGCTTATATTGGTAAAATAGCATGATAAGCATGCTATTTAGTATAAAATTTATACTCATATTCCCGTCAGGAGAAAAATTTAATGTCCATGCGTATCGGACTTGATTCAGCTACTGATACTGTTGTTTTTAGTTGTATATAGTCAATTAGCATAAATAAATAAATAATATTTGAGTGCACCTTTTTCAGTATTTAAGTAAGTCAATACTTTTTCGAAGATTTTTTCTTTTTTACCTTAACTTTAACTTTTTATGAATATTAATTCTATTTATAGTTCCTTCCATTTACATTTATATTAGGTATTGCAAATTAGAGTTAACATTTGTAGCGTTTTCTGATAGTTGTTGTTTTAATATTTTTTAGTTGTTACAATCGTACGACCCGCTTGTGAATTTAGACCAAAAATTTTTAGAAGAGATTTATTAGCAAGTTAAAATATGGTCTCTATAAGGAAATAAAATTTCCACCTATGCCATTTTATTGTTGTAAACCGTTCTCACTAGAGTAGCAGTTGTAGTATGACAGTATAGACCAAGTATTAATGTTGCTTGTATTTTGGATAATCTATTATTTTCCTTTCTAGCTTTTAGATAGAGAAATTGTTTTGTTCAAGTTTGGAGCTATTTTACTATTTTAACAGATGCTAATAAATTTTGTAAGATGAACTTTGGTTTTTGTTTAACTGAGACATCTTCATTCCTTCTGAGACAAAGTTAGAAACATACTAGAAGCAAAAGCGGGAGTAAAAAGAGGCAGAGGAAGATCTATATTAAATTACAGTTCGCAAATAGTTGGGGATGCGGAATGTTCTAGTTTCCGGGAAAGACAAAAATTGGCTCAGGGTAGGAAGGAATAGAGATGTGTATCTGACCTTATGGTGATGAAATATTCACTGTAAGATCTAAAGGAATATACGAAAAAAGTAACGAATAATCTTTAAAACCGGGACTCTAGACAAAAATCCATTTTTAAAGTATTATTAGAAATATCGGTTAGGCATCGTTGTTAATGGTACATTTTAATTATGGCGACCATTCATACTATAACCTTACCGCATGGCGCTTATTAAACCATTGACGAAAATTTGTTAAGTCGCGTGCTGTTTACTTGAGAGTTGTTTAATATTTATTCAAATAAATGTTTTTATCGTTTTTTAAAACAGTGAAAGAACAACTTTTAATATAAATTTTTATTTACCTCAATCTGTACAATATTCGCTAAATAAACGATAAATCAAATTGCATCTACATTGGTTTGTGACAGTTGCAAATACATAATGAACAGGAGTGTTTTGCTTGGCAGCATCAAAATGTCATTTGTTGGACCAAGTAAAATAGCCTGGCCAAATTACTACAATCGGAATTCGAAATTAATAAATAATTAATTAATTACGAAGACACGTCGTGAGACACGCATCAAATGACCTAGTAATATATCTTCAAAAGATGAACGCATTCCTTGATTTTTCGTACTGAAATTGCATTTCCATTTTGAAATACAGGGACATCTGTGTTCCTATGCTGTAGGAAGTCCTATAATAAAACGGGTTAACGTTGTTCACGCAAAGATTCGCACACCTTTCACGCAGGGATGAAAAAAGGAATCACAAAAGAAGACACCAAAAAACGCCCTTTATTTTCCGTGTCCTGAACTGCAACTAAAAAAAATTAACAAAAGCAACAAAACTAAAAATTTTGAAGGAAAATAGAATCAATTGACGTAAGGGAGGTTTTGAAAGGAAAAGGGACAAATATTATTCATGCACACAACCAATTACACTGGCACACAAAATTATTAGAGGACGATGCAATCAATATACCCAGCAGCAAGAAGTTCAGTATCTTCTCCGATACGCTGCCCCCCGCCCGTAATCCACCCTACCACTTCGCGAAGACTCTTCCATTCTTCGTTTATGTTCGGCCATTCGCTGAAGTCGTTGCTGTTCTTTTATAGCAATCTAAAAACCAATATAATCAATTTTAATTTCCTATATCTTTAATTTTTTCTGTCAAATATACATTTTCCAATAGATCTGATTACTTTCGGGTATTTTACCTGACGTTTCGAAATTCATCTTGCATTAGTGTTGTTCTTTAGTGATTGAAGTTAGGGAAATATTTAAAAATTTAAGAAACGAAGTGAACTGTTTTCTATTCAATTGAAACATTTTCTTTTTTTTTTTAACAACTCATATTTCTTCAATTTGAATATTCGGTTTTATTACACTTTATACAGTGCCTAAACTTCATCTAAAAAGGGTGACAATTGTTTGGAAGGAGTAAAATATATAGAAAGCAACTTTAGAAACCCTTTTTGCGAACTTTCGTAGGCGCTAGTAGTTTCATTAAGTTATATATATTTAAAAATTCATGTAATTTCACGATTTCATTCAATATTAATCTGGCGTATATTTTGTCTTACCTCTTCGGGAGTGAGCGGCAGCCAATAAATACTCGGGGACGCTTTGGTTTTTCGAAAAAGATCGTCCATTCTTTTTTGTGGAATTTCTTCTTCTTCTTTTAACTGCTTGCGTTTAATATAATCTGCAAAAGAATAAGATAGTTACTGGTATTTATTGACGAAATTCGTGTTACACGCTGGGTAAATGTAAAACAATGTAAAATTACGGTTTTATATTATTCTAGACTGTGAATAGCGCTGGAAATCTTACAAAATACTTAAGGTAATTTTTTTCCAATATCTGCTAAACAGGTATTATATAAAAAACAAAATACTTAATATGAAATTAGACCGCCATTTCCAGTCACTACACAATTGCAAAATCAATGATAACAATTAAAAACTTCGGTTGCCCTTGTATTTTTAAATTTCTTCTTAATCTCAAAATGTTCAAATCTTTAGGAGATTACAATTAAAAAATTAACTTTTTAAAGTTGTTTATGGTATTAATTGTACCTATTGGCGTTGCTGAACGCCGATGTCTTCGCTTATCACGTTCTTCTCTTTCTCTACTGAATGAACGCTTTTTATTCTGCTTCTCCAAATCCCACTCCCTTACATTATTTCTTGCTTTTTCTCGTTCTTTCGGCTTATCATCCCGTGTTTGTTTTTCTGGAATCTTAAATAAAAAGCCAGATAATAAATTTCTGACGACCTTATGATGATTATTTTTACATTTCATTTCATACCTTGTTTTCTTTTTCGATAATATTCGTAGATTCGACAGGTGGGGCGGCGATAGGTGGTGGATTTCGGGCGTTTTCCAAATCTTCTTCCGTTGCATATTCAATGCAGAGTTGTTTTGCGTTTCCCACTGGCCAATTGACTCCATGAAGGGCATTCCGAGTAGCTTCAGCTTCTCTATGATAAAAATTCGAATTTTATAAAAAATGAATTATTACTGATCCAGTCAGGTAAATTTAATAAATTAAACTTTTGCAATATTAAATCATGATAAATTAAATTATTTAAAGAGATTTACTAATTGTAATTCGATGTCTAAGGCAGAAAGCACGTCGTCAACCTTACTGATAAGTCCTGGCATGCTCTCGAGACGAAACATCTTTTCTCTCTTTTCTGCAGTATTGGACAACATTTCTACAGAAAAGAGAGAAAAGATGTTTCGTCCCGAAAGCACGCCTGGACACATCAGTAAGACTGACGACGTGCTCTCTGCCTTAGACATCTGGGGACCAGTGGAATGTGTGGTGCGAACTGACGTGGGACAGGCGGGCCACAGACGGATAAAACCGGTTTTCATGAGTTACTCCACAGAATGTTGATAAATAAATTAATGAAGTGTGACAATTATATTATTTTTATAAAAACATGTAGGTTTTTTCAACATTTATGATTAAAAGGGTAATTAAATATAAAAATAATAATCATTCTTGATATAAATCTTTAAAATTCTCAATAATTAATTTATTTAATCTTGAAGGCATAAAAACGGAAAGTAAGTCATATTAAACAATTAATTTCAGTTCAACAGTTCTATTTTTTTATTAAAAAATGAGTATGTGAATCCCTTTTTATTTACTTACTCTTCTGTTTCATAATGGACATAACATTTCGATTTTACTTTATCAGTCCAAAATCCATTTTGTTTTATTTTTCCTGTCCTTTCTAGTAGGTCTTTAAGTTGTTTCAATGTAAATGGTCGAACCAAGTTTGTGATGAACAGAACAGCAGATACTGGATTTTTTGCTGGACTTGGGGGTGGTCGTAACTTACTTGCAGTATCATCCACAATTGATATTTTACGATTCATTGCAATAATATGCGAATTGTCAGACTCATTTTTATCTTCTGTTGAACTCGCTGAAGTCTGTCTTTGAAATTGGGAGTAATCTCCATCTGATTTATAATCGAGTGAAACTTTACGTTCCATTTTCTTATCTTTGGATTCTGGTGCAGATTTCCTTCTCTCTTTTATTTCCAATTTTACTTCATTCTCCTCAAGGAATTCGACATTTGGACACAGATTTTTAATAGTGTTTACATCAATTTTTGACAGGGAAGTGTTCATAAGATGTAAACTAACTACAGAATTCCCCCATTTTCTTCTACGTATTTTAGGTTCAGGAGTACGAAATATTTCCAAAACTTGAGATTTCAAATTTTGGATTTCTTCATTAGCTTCAACTAACTTTTGTACATCTTCATTACATGAGTCAGTAATATTAAAAGTGGTATCTTTTTCTAACGACGTATCAAGCTGAGAAATATTTTGTGGTTCTGGTTCTTCCAATACACCATCTTTCCGAATTTCCTCCACCACTACTTCCTTTTCTTCAGTTACTATAAAAGAATAAATGAACATTTAGTAATAGTTTTGACAAAACAACCAATTCGAACTACTTCAGATAATACAACTATTCATTTATTTACAATGAATTCCAAAGTTTCATTTCTTAATTTGAGCCTTCTTCGGGGGTAATTGTAAAGTTATTTATCCTAGTTAGTCTTACTCCTGAAGAAGCTCCAAATTAAGAGGTGAAATGTTGGGAATTACTGTAAATAAATACATAGCTTTATTATCTGAAAAAGTTGAGATTGATTGTTCCTTTAAGATAATCAGATCAGGGTTAAAAAAATCAGTAATAATTTAGTAATATTTTCAAAAAGATAAGGGGGCACAATTAGGATTATTTCGCAACTGAAGACGAGAAGTACGTCTATTACCATTTTTCCATGACTTTACTTTGATAGTTTTTCATAAATCTTATGAGTAGATAAGGCACAGTTGCTTTTTAGACTTTTATTTGAACTCATAGTTATTTTTCAATTTTCACCTATCTAACTTAGTTGATCAAAAGGAAATGAAAAAAGGCCAGTAAATGTATTTTTTCCTGAAATTTTACCTAGTTTGTGGGTTTTGTGCTACCATGATGAAAAGATGGAAAACAAGTGTTTGAAACGTCTTATAATAAATTGAACTACCTGCATATTTACTATTATTATGTATTATACCAAATTTTGCACACAAGTTTAAATTATTTTTATTACATGCTTTCTATTGACATTTGGTTCATTATTGAGATTCATTTTTTATCAGTCATTAGTGCTATAAAAAATACAGACTTAACAAAAGTAACAACTCATTCTACACTAATACAACAGTACAATATAAAACTTACCAGATGTGTTGTGTGAAGTTGGAGATAATTTTTCTGTTTCCATTTCCAAAGTTTCTTCTTCAACTTCTTTTACTTGCTTTAAATCTGTAGCCACTGTGTTTATTGCATTTTGATTTGTTTCAGCTTGTTCACCATGTTCTTCTTTCATACTTGTATTTTCTGTATCTTCTTTAATAACTGTATTTTCTGTATCTTCTTTAATACTTGTATTTTCTGTATCTTCTTTAATACTTGTATTTTCTGTATCTTCTTTAATACTTGTATTTTCTGTATCTGTACTGCACTGTAACTCCATTGTACTTTGTGGTGTTTTTTCCTCTTTATCAATTTCATAATTTTCTGATTTAAATTCACCATGTGCTTGCAAACATTCTTTTGTATCTTCTTCCGACTTTACAATTTCAACAGACTCAGTAACAGTCTCTGTCTTTACAATTTTACTCATATTTTCAACATCACTCTCCTTTGACATGTTTTCGATATTAGAGTTGTTAATCTCATCAGGTGAAACAAGAACATTATCACTTGGAATATTCACAGAAGTATGAGTTGGTGACTGAGATGTCACCTGTGCATTTTCAGAAATTTCACTTTGCATATGGCTTTCAGATTCACTTATTTGCGGTGAATTGTCACTTTTAGATTTATTTTTACCTTTAGACTTACCTTTTAACTCTTTTCCCTCAATACTTTCCTTTTCTTCGGTTTTCACTGAAACTTCTTCAGAATGGTCAGGTTTAGTTGAGATTTCTCTTGCTTTTAATTCCTTAACGTCATCTACACTTTCATGATTATTGCTAGTCCTTTTACGATTTTCCTGTTTTCTTGATACAGGTGATTCAATATTTTCATTATTATCTTCCTTTTTTTCATTTTCGGGACTTTTTCTGTCACTTTTATTAGCAGAATTCCTTAACACCCTTTTACGGGTTGGCTCTTCACTAGATGATCGCGATGAAGATCGTCTTCTTCTAGATCTTAGGCGAGGCTTATTAGACGGCGAATCTATTGGTTTCTCAGGTGAAACTTTTGTACTTGATCTGGTACTTCTGCGTCTCATTCTCTGGATGTATAAAATACAAAAAAATGCATGAGGTTTAACAATTGACGCCATTTGTCGGCGTTATTTTATTCGTAGATATCACAAATAAGGTATTGTGAAATAAAAACTATAAATCTTACCTAATTTTAAGTACGTTACATTTACGTAAAATAATGTCAATAATTGATTAATTAAGAATATAATATGCTACTACTATAACTTCCTGTTTCTCCTTTTCACTCACAAACCCAAACATTAATATTACAACTATTGACCATCAATTGACTTGTCTATGATCAACTGACGTTGACTCACAGAATAAAAATCTATACAGAACGAACATGTCAAAAACTTAAACCATAGATAATACAATAGAAATACATCAGGGTGTGTTCAGAAATGAACAACCCAAAGTAAAAAATCCACCTAATTACACCCAAACCTTAATGTCAAAAACAACTCAAAAATATAAGTAAACGTAACAGTAGGTGTGATATTGGACTGTACGTTCATAAATTAAATAAAATCTATCTTGGATGTATTCGAAATCTTTAAAAGTTACCCATTAAATCAAAATTATTTTTCGCTGTCAAGTTATTATTATTATGACTATTTACGATTAAAAGAAAGAGAGAAAGTGAGCGTGGAACCAATTCCTTTCATTTCGCTCTTTCTTTACCACTTTATCTCATTCTTCAGTTCCTGCAAAACTGTGACATAGATCAGTCAAACATCTACAAAAAAGACCACTACCGGCCGCACGATTGATTTGTTTTTCTCAGGCGTTTCTGGCTGCATTTATTACCTATGTGTATCTATTATCTATGATAGCTAGATAGAGAATACCCAGTAACCCAGTTCTATGTCTATGGTACACAGCCCACAGACAAGACCCAACCATAACCGTTTTAATTACCTAACCTACAACATTATTTAGAATAGTGAATAAAAACATTATTCTGTAACGTTAGTATAAAGTGTAATTTTTAAATATGAGTAAAAAAGAATTAAAGTTGCAGTGTTTAAATACAATTGATTGTAATCAAGGAGCTGTTCGGGCTGTGCGTTTTAACGGTAAGCACCAGTTGCAATTTGTAATTAATTTATTGTTGTCGTTTTTGTTTTGAATAGAACAGTTGATGGTTCATATTGCTTAACATGTGGATCAGACAAGAAACTTAAGTTATGGAATCCGTATCGGAATTTGTTGTTGAAGACTTATGGAGGTCATGGAAATGAAGTTTTAGATGCTAGTGCTTCATGTGATAGTAGTCAAATTGTTTCGTGCTCATCAGACAAATTGGTTATAATTTGGGATGTAACCACGGGGCAATCTGTAAGAAGGTTTCGGGGTCATGCAGCTACAGTTTCATGTGTGCGATTTAATGAGGAATCAACAGTTGCTGTTTCTGGCAGTTTAGATAACACCGTTATGTTTTGGGATGTTAGGTCACGAAAGAATGAACCATTTCAAATTTTAAAGGATGCCAAAGATTGCATTACATCATTAGAAGTTATATCACATGAAATATTGACTGGGTCGGTGGATTGCTCTGTAAGACGTTATGACATTAGAAATGGCTGCTATGATGCTGATTTTGTGGCTGGTAATTAATGCAATAGAAGTGTCCCATTTGTTCCAAGTTATCTAAGAGCTTATTATGATTTATACAATGAAACACTTGTGATATCAATGAAGGTCACTGCAACGAGTCTAATTAAGTTTAAGCAATATTTAACTAAATTTGTAAGGCATTCAACACCTCTCTGGAAACCATATTGGTTTATCAAGATATATATAAATTGCGCAATCTTTTTGTGTAGTAAGTTATCAAAGATCTTAACTAAATTGGAGACAAGTGAGATTGATCTGTAAATATGTACATTATTTTTATCACCTGCCTTCCACATCTGTTTTTTTGAAATGCAGGGAGCAGTAACTAGTTTTAAATATATTATTAACAATATAAACAAATTCACAAAATAAAAATTATTGTGGATATGTTGCCGCTAAGGTAGGTAAAAAAGGTAAAAAATTCGGGCGCCAGGGCAAATCCGAATACGTACGAGTTGTTTTGATTGTAACAGACATTTAAATTTTAATTAGGTACTATTTTTAAACTATGTAGATTATAGAGGTAGGGAATCTTATTAATTTAATATTTGTAAAATAATTGTTTAAAATGTATATTCAGTAATAGTACATATATATTAAAAATGTTTTTCCATAACTTTGTAGCACCCATTACTTCAGTAAAGTTTTCCCATGATGGACAATGTATATTGGTCAGTTCTGCAGACAATATTATAAGACTTCTGGATAAAACATCTGGGGAGCTATTGGGAGAGTAAATATACTTATTTAATTAATTTGTTTATTAAGCTAACGGGAAATTAACTTCTTTTAGAAGTTTTTACAAAAATAAGTAATTGAAAAATATTCGTAATAATAGTTTCTTTATTTACAGATATGTGGGCCACCGAACGGACGATTTAAACATAGAAAGTGCGATAATGACTAGTGATAATCATATTCTATCAGGTTCTGCTACTGGAGAGTTGTGGTGTTGGGATTTGATTAGTGGAGAAGTTGTTAAAAGACATTTTCACACACCAGGAAAAGCTTTACATTCTCTCAGTGTTCACCCTAAAAAGGATATTGTTCTGACTGCCTCAGTAAATACTATTAAAGTGTGGGGAAGTTCTGATGAAGAGATCATAGAACTTACATAAATATACTACATGTAAAATGTATGCTTTTACTTCATTAAAAAAATATATGTACTTATGTTTAATTAATATACAGAATATTTCAAGAAATAATTCACTTATTCTAGAAGGTTTTTGTCAGTAGTAATGACGTGAATTTATTATCAGAAGTACGTGGTGATTATCTGTATAGGTACTAACAGTAATGTTTGCGGAAGTCGCAATTACATGCAGGTACCAAGTATCAAATGAAGGGTCGACATTCCACGTTCATTACAAGAAAGTGTGCGGGGCGATAGGTTGTTCGGCACGCGTGCGTGCTCCTCATTACAATACAAGTTTTTGCAAACGAACATTTTGCTGGTATCATGTATGCATATATGGTTGTGACTGGTATCAAATTAAAAAATTGGAAATTGATAATGTGAATCTTATTACCGATATAATTCGTGTTATATTGGTACATACTTGTTTTAACGACAAAAATACATTAGCTTCCTTTATTTTATGTGGCCTATAAAATTATTTATTTGCCGATTCGAAACAATTTTTCCCAATTTGCCGACTAATTTTACAATTAAATCAAATGTTTAACTCGCAGACGTAACGAATTATTGTCTCCTGTTTAAAACCAATTAATAATTTCTTTTGCATGCAATTAAGCACTGTATTTTGCTTATCATAATTTCTTTACTGGTTATTCTCGTTGATATTAAAAAGTGTAAATAGCAGATCATTTAATTATCACTTATTTGGCAAATAAGTGAAGAAGTTCTGCAAATACCATAAATTGAACAATATCATTGGAAAGATAAACGCGTAGGGAAATTGGGCCATTACCAAAAAGTTGAGTAGAAATTTGCACAAGAGTTCTTTTAATTTTTTTTTGTACGACCTTTCAACAAGTATGTTTGATTCCTATTAAAGATAGGCACATATGTATTTTGTAATAGAATTTGATTCATTTAATAGGGTTTTGTCGGTATGTTCTTTATTCACGGTAAGTAATGTTCCAGAAAGAATAGGAGAACAGAGGACTCTATGGAAGTCAATAAGAAATGGGCAAGATAGGTCGGTAGGACATCTTCTTAGGCATGAAGGTCTAGTCAGAGACATATTAGAGGCAGAAACAGGAGTTAGGAGGGGTAGAGGTAGACCTAGATTAGATTACTGTTTGCAAATAGTTAAGAATGTGGGTTGTTCTATTTTAAGGAAAATGCGAAGTTTAGTTTAGGATAGGAAAGAGTGGAGGTACGTGTCCAACCAGTCGTAGGACTGACAACCATATGATGATGAATGTTCCAGCTCAGTAATGTTCTTGGTCTAATAAGTAGTTTTCTTTATGAAAATGAATAGTACACCATTTTGAAAAAAGTAATTATGTAGAATTACCACGAGGTAAGTTTACAAATTGAATTAAAATTACATTTCCATCATTTAACAACAGAAAAACTATAATACCGTTTTTCATTTTAATTTGATAACAAAATTTACTTAACACAAAAACTATTTTGGAATATGTTATGTTTTAATTCTGTTTTTTTAAAGGCAAATAAAAAATTAAATACAATCGTTCAAAACATTTTGAAAAATTAAGCTCCTCTAACGTAGATACATTTTTTGGAATACTATAGAAGATAAATAATATTTTTCTAAATTTAGCTAACGTTTCGTAACACTTCATAGTTTCTAATTTGTAAAACAATGAGCATTTGCGAGGGCCAGTTTTGTTAATGCTTCTGCAGCGTCCAGTTCTTCTCTTCCGTGGTGTTGATAAATTTCTGTGTCATCTCTTTCTTGTTTTTTTGACTTACGTTTTTGCGATTTTGGGAATGTCCATTGAACGTAACTGTATTCACTAGGCTGAAAGTTCTGTGCGCTTTCGATCCATTTGGAGATCATTGAAGGTTTATTGTCTAATTCATTTTCATTACATTTATCAACATCTTCAGGTTCCACAAAATATGGTTTTTGGCAATCTCTTAAGTATTTTTCCATTATATGATTTTTATATTTGCTGGAGTGCTGAGAGAACGGATTCGCCTCTTCACGCTCACGATCAGTTGACGTTATGCAGCCATTAACTATATTTTTGTTACATTGACGAGAAGAATGAACAGGAAAATTTTGGTTTTTATCTCCTACTGCACAGCAGTTATTTTTATAGTAATTTGTATTTTCAACAGTGGCATCATCATTTTCGCACCCTTCTTCGACACCCTTAAAATTTATTTGTTCTTCTTGCGACTCAAAAGATTCCGCTTCTTGCCAGATGCTGTCGTCTGAACATATGGAAAAGTGCTCTACGTTACCCCGCACTTGATTATTGTAAGATTTTATTAAGTGGCCCCATGTTTTCTTCTGGGGCTCGTGGCCCGCATTTTTTAATTTTCGTCGCCAATTAGCAAACCAATTGCAAACCTGAAAAACCATTAGAAAAGTTAAATAATTTTGAATAAAGTGTTAAATATTTTTTATGCGAAAAGTTTTATTCATGCTTGACACTAAACACATATTTTATATTTTTTTACTCTACGCTCGGTACATCTACATCTTTTGAAAGATCGCAGTTAGTAATCGAAATCGCATTAAAAAATAGTATATATAGATATAGAAAGACTGATCAAGTAAACATTTGTTATAATTTAAGGAAGTGCTTTATAAAATAATTATAATTGTCTTCGAAAAATGTATTAATTCACGCCAACAAAAATCAAAAATGTAATATAATGTAGGTAAAATAATTTTTCCTTTTTTTATTTTAATATTTTCTTATTTTTTAAGCATTTGATCTGAGGAAATATGTACTCTCTTCTTCGAAACAAACTAACTGTAAGATATTTCTAGCTTTGTTTTTGTTTGTTTTTAAATCGGTAAATACGAAACGAATTTTTTTTATCTTTTCCTAGTCGAAATAAATTTAGTTAGTTAACTATGTAAACAGTAAAAGTTTTTAATTAACGATTACCTGAATGTATGTCAGTCCTGTTTCTATGGCCAGCAATTTTTTTTCGTCTCTGTTAGGATAGGGATTGTCCCTTCGTCTTACCAACCAGTCCTTTAAGAAACGTTTAATTTCAGGAGTAAACAATCGTTTTTGTGGCTTTTTTTCTTCTCCAAAGTTTTTTCTGTAACAGCAAATTTTTATTTAAATGATAATAAAAGGTTCTGCAGTTAAACGAAAGTTTGAAGGCGTAGGGGGAAAAACACTAGCCAACTTGACGAATTAGTTTTGCAAATTTCAAAGCCACACATCCATTTTTAGAACTCTTTTGTGAAAAAAAGTTTAAAGTTTTTGTTTTTAACACGCTATCAAAAATCTACCTGCTGTATCTTTTGTTTCTAACAGGCCTACGCGACCTCTCTCTCAGAGTCCCGTTGATCCGTTGATCCATTTCTAGTTAAAGTAAATAAAAATACAATATTTTTAAATAATTTTACCGTACAAAAATAGCACAAACATGATCTCATGTTAGGTAATAGAATATAAAACAAGATGGAGTTTTTGATTAACATAACTTGTAATCTACTGAAAATTGCATATACGACAAGAAAAAAATAATACAACTGTTAGTAACGTAACGGCCAAATGTTCTGCAAGATTTTTTTCTAAAAATGCGCGCTGAGAAGGGTGAAAATGTGCAGTCATTAATGAAAACATTGCATGATTCATGTAAGTGTTTGGAAAACATGAGTGTGTTTTTGCCAAGATAATATTAAAAACGAAGACTATTATTACCTGATATAAAACAATAGGGGAAATGCGAAGAGAAGCGAGAAAACTTTTCACAGGGTGAGTTGAAGTAATTTCAAACACAGTAACAATATCCCATTTAAATGTGTGTGCCTATAAGTTTGTGTATGTTAACATCAACTGATACCAAATAGCGACGATGGCTCATTGGGATTCGGGGACATCTCTGGTGCAAGCGTTTTATTTTGAGAAACGTGTGTCCTGCCTCCTCTGCGTCGTGTTTTTTATAATTGTTCTATTTCATTATTTTGAGATCTGTCGAAAACATGCTTACGTCGTAAATTGTAGGTCACACTCGTTATCTCATTCATTTCGGAATTTTCTCTCTACAACTCTTGTCTTTTTTTAACGTGCATGTATATAATAAACATATAATTAAGTATAAAATACATTTGTTTTAAGATTGATTTCAAAAGGTTTATGCGTGAATCTGTAAAAATATACTTATATTTCGTTTACAACACATATAAATAAATAGTTCATGTGTTGGCATGTAATTAGGTTTGCTACAAACAATGCCGTTTTAATATTATAATTGATTTTCGCTATAAGTTATTTTATAAATTGATTAAAGATGATTTAAACGGTGTCTGAATAGAATAAATCATGAGACAATTGAATTTGCTGAATCTGTTTTTCTTATATTGTTGTAAAAATATTTAGATGAGTCATTTATGTACGACTTATTATACACGTTAGTCCATAAAGTACGGGAAACAGACCAATTGTAGATTCTGGAATGGTAACCCATAAGTAATGGATAACTTTGCAAGTGAGTATGAACCATTAAGGTCACCCAGATAATTAAATTGAAATTAAAAAGTTCTATGGTTTTCGATTTATTTCATTAGATTTAAAATTCTATAAAAATTTGCTATTTTATAATTTGTTGGGGCGCAACAAGGGGGGGTCCGCGGGTGCCCGGGCACCCACTCGATTGGGTTGGAACCCAGTCAATTCCAGTCGATTCAGGTAATAACCCATTGATAGTATTATGATGAGAGTAGCCGAACTCAATTTTTTCGATTTTACCAATACAATGCATTGATGACTTTTTTTTTAGTCATTTTTGAGCACCCAGTCAAATTGTAACGCTGTTGCGCCCCTGATAATTTGTATTAAAGATGCAATTTTTAAGGAACTTGACTGCCCAGGTTTCCATACTGTAGCTACTTATAAATTCTAACTAGAGATGTGCAGAATGGTTTTTTAAAAGTATTTAAATACAAAATGTAAATAGCTTTTTGATTTGTTATTTCAAATGTAATATACTACAAAATAGATTTCCCTTTCGTATTTTAAATGCTAAATGCAAAATACGTATTTTCAAAATACTTTTTTCAAATAA